AAAACTAATATTGAACAAATAGTGGTCTGGAAAAGAAATTCTAATTAGCTAGTAGACTCCACATAGGCCAAATTTTTTAAAATTTAAATTTCAATACAGTCATATGACACGTGATGGAAATATAATCTGAGAAATATGTTATTAGGCAGTTTCATCCATGTGTACTGCAAAGTACCACACAGAGTGCCAACTTCTAAGTGCAAACTGAGAAGGTATACGTCAGTCATCTGTGATGGCCCCTTGATATTATCCAAATATGCAGTTAAACACGGGATACATGAGGCTACCAGTGGCATAACAGTACACTGTTTTACAGTAAACTCTTCTATATAAGTAGGATTATGCTCTAAAGGATGAAAAGCACAGCATGTTATGATAAGTACCTAAAACAGTAACAGTCATTTATCACACTGCCGAGTACTGTGAACTGTGCATAGCTGTATGCGCTTCTTCTGTAAACACACCCTTCTCTCCTTTGATCTCAGTGACTCTTCCTTCCCAACCCACTGATGAACTCCAGCCTAGTCTTTATCTACATCTCTTCCAGTAGTTTTAAACACAGTTGATATATGGATTCTTTCTAGATTCCAGCCTGTAACTCTGATCTCTTCCCTTCTCTTCCTGCCAGCCCTACCCCTTTGAACCTTTTCTTCCTATTTCAAATTATCAATTATTCATTGTAATCCTTAATTACACTTTCAGTTTCTCACACTAGAGAAACTATTTGATATTTACATATGTGTGTCGTATTTATTTCACTTAAGAGGATGGCCTCAATGTGCATCCATTTAGCTATAAATGTCTCTAGTTTCTTGTTCTTTATGGCTGAGTAGTACTCCATTTTATTAAAAAAAAAACACATCTTCTTTATCCAGTCTCCAGTTGATGGGCACTTGGGCTGTTTCCAAGCTTTCCCTATTGCAAACTGTGCCGCTATAAACATGGGTGCACATATATCACTGTGGTATGATTCTTTTAATTCTTTAGGGAAGATACCCAGCAGGGGGATAGCTGGGTCAAATGGGAACTCTAAGCCTAGTTCTTTGAGGTATCTCCATACTGATTTCCCCAATGGTTGCACCAGTCTGCACTCCCACCAACAATGGAAAAGGGTTCCTTTCTCCCCACACCCCCACCAGCATTTGTTATTAGATGATTTCTTGATAGCAGCCATTCTTTCTGGGGTGAGGTAGAATCTCAGTGTTGTTTTCATCTGCATCTCTCAAATAACCAGTGATGTTGAACAGTTTTTAATATATTTATTTGCTGCTTTTACATCTTTGTCTGAGAAATGTCTGTTCATTTCTGATGCCCATTTTTGAATTGGGTTTTTGAATTTGGGGGGTCTGATTTTTTTCAGTTCTTTATATATTCTAGATAGTAGTCCTTTGTCTAAGGTACAGCTGCTGAAATTTTTTTCCCACATTGTAGGTTGTCTCTTAGCTCTGTTGGTGGTTTCTTTTGCAGTACAGAAGCTTTTTAATAAGCTGAGATCCCAGTTGTTGATTCTTTGTGCTAGTTCCCATGCTACTGAGGTTCTGTTCATAAAGTCTTTTCCTATGCCAATGTCATCAAGAGTTCTACCTAACTTATCTTGCAGCAGTTAGTGTTTCTGTCTTAATATTTAGATCTTTAATCGATTTTGATCTTAGTTTAGTGCGTAATGATAGGTATGGGTCTAGTTTTAATCTTTGCCAGGTTGAAATCCAGTTTTTCCAACACCATTTATTAAATAGGCTATCTTTCCTCCAATGAGG